TCATTGTCCATTTTCGTTCTACGAGAGAGCTTCCCAGTTGCATCTCGCTAGGTGAGTTGTTATCCGCTTTATTTACCCGCTAATCAGCTTGTCCTCATCACTGGCATCTGGTCTGTTAATTCTTCCCATTAGCATTCAGCTGCGCTTCACACATTGCCTTCCACCGGGATGGATTTTAGTTTCCAGACACATGACCAGACTTTATAGGGGCACTCTTCTATTGACAATGAGCGTTTCAAAAATTTTGCAAAATGACTGCACGATGTGTCAAAAATGATTTCCCAAAGGCCCCAACGAGGGGGCTGTCACTTCAAATATCGCTTTGTGACCCATTTCAAAATTGTAATTAGAGTAGAAAGTTTTCACATAAGCGGGCTTATTATTCTGTGACTGTGGGTTAAGGGATTACCTGAATTTAATTTTAAATTTTTTCTTAATTTAGGTTTTGCTTTATACATTTTTTTAGCTGTCTTTTAACTGTCTTTTCATTGGAAAAACTCCCAAGTTTCAATTTTTATTCTCAAGAAGCTCTAAAATATTTTCCCGCTTTTGTTGAGAATTTCAAAAGTCTTTTAAAATGAATAAACCTAATAAAATAAATAAAGCGCTACACTTTCATTATAGAGAAACCTTTAATCTCAGATATTGAAGCTAATTCCATGTTTCTTCAAGCTTTTATAAGCTTTCATATAAAAAAGAAAGTTTTGTAATCAATTTGTGTTCGTATTACATTATCCTTATCCCACGCCGGAAATATTATCAATCAGCAGTTTCTTGAACAGCCGGAAAAGCAGCTTAGTTGCAATCGAAAGGCAGGAAAAATATTCATCATACGCAGCGTTGGCACAACTGTCGCCGTAAATATCCCCTGAACTGGACTGTAGTTGGCTTTATCCTCTAACTTGGTCATCCTTTTGCCTTTTGTTAGCAGCAGTGAATGAGCGTGGTGTTGGTTAATTATAAATTATGCAGCACGCAACAGAAATTGAGCTCCTTTTTTATCCTGATGTGTGGGATGCTTTTTTGTTGGATTTTCCTGAAGGTAAGCCAGTCTTTTTTCCCCAGCTTTAATTGCCTGGGTTCGACTGGGGAAAAAGGCTCCTAATTTTTGTTGCTTCTGGTTAAAGCCCTAACAGCGCTGGCACTCTTGGCCCAGTTTATGTGTCGTTTTAATGCCAAAGCGTGTCAGGAGGCTCACATCCATCGAGGGCGGAGATTTATTGCTTGCTTTGACTCGCTTTTATCTGTTTGCCGTCGCTCGGCTGATGCCGATTTCTGTTTATTGATACAGACAATACACTTACCGCGCACTGGCATTTGCATATGTTCCGGAGATAATCAGCGGGCGCTGCCAAAATCAATATTGGTGCAGCGAACACTTGGCCGGTACTAAAATAAACTCACCTAACACCCCTCGTTTCCAGCCTCATGAAAAATCATAATAAATCCAATGTCAGGCCTTCTCGAGCCTTTGGAGCTCATCACTTTTTTTAGCTTACGCTTCCATTTTTTTGACAGCGTATTTGAAATGTGACTTTACAATTGCCGCCACCCACTTGTCACGCCCATTTTATGTGTTTTTCATTTTTTTTGTTTTTATAGAGACTCGAGAAAAAGCGAATTTATGAATTTAAATGGACTGGTTTATGCCAGAAAAGCTTAAAGGCAGTCATGTTGTTGTCATTTATTTCATGTTTCGAATTACTGTCCGAAAAACTCAACAATCTCTATTTACTTTAGAGATTATTTATTCCGGGAAATTGTGACGAGTTTCTGGATTTTTAGTTTGATTATTTTCTGTCATCCTTTGACAATAACTTTCTGATGCGGAAGATGACACGTTTTCCAATCAATCCACAAACACAAAACAACGATTGCTTTTCTGCTTTTAGTTTTCAGAGAGAGAAAAATGTAAACAACATTTTCTAAAATAATAACAAACTATGTTAGTTTGGAAAAGTTACGTTTTTCCTACTTGCATGAATCTCTGAGTTTATTTATGATACACTTCTTCAAACATTAAAGTAGCTTTTGGGGTCTTTATGTTTTCTTTAAACCAATTAGCAATGTCTATTGTTTATAAAAACTTTTCAATTTATCAGAAATTGGCACTTGCTTTTGCTGGAAGGCATTTTTTACTCATTTTTGCATAAATAGCTGAATGCGCGAATTAAAATTCCGAGGCTATTGAAAACTTTCATCAATAGAACAAGCGAAATTGTTTCGGGGCTCATAAAAGCATTTTTTTGGCAAAGGTTTCAGACAGGCGTCGTCGGAGAATTTATCTTGTTTTTTGTACAAAACAAACTATCTACATATATTATTTTTTAAACTTCTTGACGGTGTGTTTTCTTTACTCGAACTTGTTACTATTCGCTGTTCGTCAAAGCACTTCGAATACTGCCAAGAACATGCCAGATAGCCAGAGGAACGATATGACAGCAACAAATTCAATTTGTTTATACTTAAAATACACACAAAACACCAGACCTGGGCGAAACTTTCAACCAGTTGACTGACTGAAGATAAAATAAAATCTTTAAGGTCCGTCGATGTTTATAAAATTGAGTTTTGGAGAATAGAGAACAAGAGCGATGGGTGGGAATTAGGTTTGTGTGCTCATCTCGAAACATAATCCCAAAAACAATCTGCAAGATGCACTTGCATCCTTCAATATGATATTAAAAATTCTTTGACATAAAGTTTGCGCCTTAGACAAGACCGGGAGAACCAAAAAAGTTTGTTGTCATTCCGAAGACTTTTTTATTGCATTTTTGATTTAAGATGGAGAACAGGATGGAGAATTATTCATAGCAGACTGTGTTGGGTTTGGCTTACAGGCTGGTGTGAACTTTATGCAAATGATTCCGTAAATAGACGGAAAATAAATACCCTAGCACGACAGGCATTTTCCGAACGATTTCGGGACTTGCAATATTTATTCGGAATATTTATTCAACGTATTAAAAATCTTTCCCCCGGGCACTTTGTTACGGGCGCTGTTGAATTATCCAAATAAGCTTCGAATTTGCACATAAGAGTCTTTGTCCGCCTTAAGTGATTCGCAGAATTCAAATTTCCTTTGGATTTTTTCGGCATTGTTCTTTGGACGAAAGGCGCAAAAGTGACTGGAAGTGTTCATGCATGTGGAAAGCCCAATCTGCTTGGGGCAACCATTTTTTTGTTCCTGGGGCACCCGCTCTCTGAAATCCTTTGTCCACACGTGCCGCCGAGCGATGGCAGCCGAAACGATAATAAAATGTAATCAAAAATTAATTCAACCAAATTTGGCATTTTATGTGTGAGTTTCGCAATGCGACAAAACGGAGGTTGGGGGCGAGAAAGCCGGCTTTGCACTTGTCCTCTATGGCATGCTTTAATTTCCATGGAAGTTCAGCCAGGCCGAAAATAAAATTCCCATACGAGGTATCATTGGCCTTTGACATTGGCCAGCTCTGTGAATTATTTCAGCTGTTGTATAATAGAAATGGGGCGTTTTCATTATGTAAGACAACTGGACCGCTTAAATGGGCTTCAAGTCCTTCTTTTGTGTTTATTAGATCCGAAAACGCACTGGGAGAATATTTTATGACCTTTTCTACACAAAAAGTTATTCATTTTAGCCACAAAATTGCCATAATAATATTGTACAATTAGTAAGAAAAACTATATATACTTATATATTATTAATAATAGAGACAAAATTAATTGAATAATTTTATTTATTTATTTGAGTCTTTATTGTGTGATATTTTAAGTGTTTACTCTACTTTTATGACATCAAAAATTAGAAAATAAAATCATGAATAATTTTAACAATAGAAAAGAATATTCTAAACAATTTTCGAGTTATGTTAAATAATAATAGTTCTCTTAAGTATCCTCTTAATTTTTTTCGATACTTGTATAATTTATCGTATGTACTATATACTTTTATAAGTTATAACTCTTACAGTTAAAAATTCAAACTACCATTTTAACCTAATCGCACCGTTCAAACTTTTTAAGTCATTTTCCGAAAACAAAATAAAAACTAGTCTTTAATGGAGGTCAACTCCCCAAGATGCGACAATTGTTGACACTTTTTAGTTGGCACACTTGCTACCATTTAGCCAGCAAGCAGCCCGAGGAGTCGTATCATTAGCCCTGACCAAGAGCGTATTTTTTTTCGTTTGAACCTTTAGGGCCATTTGGGAAACGACCCACTAAGGACATTGGGGAATGCGTGTTTGAAATTTTTTAGCCAACAGTCGGGCAAAGAGTTCTTTTGAACAACAAACGGAATATTTATTGCTACCAAAGTGGACGAATGCTTGCGATATTTGCTCACCCCATGAGTCCAACCACAACACACGAGCTGCGTGAAAGGGTTTTCCATTTCCATTTAGCCAGCAATCGGAGAAAATCGAGCGAAAACCCAAAAAATGTTAACAACAATCCGGTAAACGATATCGTAACAGTTTTGTATTTTAATAAATTAACGTTCCTTTCGGGCTTAAAGGCTAAGGACTAAAAGCTTTAAGGACGGCTCGTCAGCTTTGGGTAAGTAAAGTGAATAATGAGCCCTAAGGCGACTGGCAGATGATGTGCCATATGTTCTACCTCATTTCCCGACACGTCTAAGCCCTTTGACCTTCACAAACAAAGGCAACGAAAGCCCGGGGGGATTTCCCCAGTAGTATGATAATTCGCTAGTTGTTGCAGAAACTCAAGCGGAAGCCCAAGCTCGAACAAGTGATGAAAATATGGTAATCAGTTGACACAAAAGTGTGAACCGGAGCATTCCTTACTAATAGATTTTCTAATTGTAAAAAAATCCTTTTGGGTTTTGGGTCGAACCTGGCACAATATCTTTTGTTTGCTGCAAAAAATATTAGTTATTCTGTTTACACTTGTCACTCAAAACTAAATTCCATTACCTTGTTAAGATAAAACACTATCTCTCTACAATTATTCTAATGGAGTTGCTTTATAAAAGCAACTGGAACTGTTGGGTTGCAAATTCAGTAAAAAATGAAATTGCAACGCGTTTGGATATTTTGCCATGGTGAGCCAGGACACCACCAAGGAAAAAGCAACCAGTGACTAATTATTTTTAACCCGCTGTAGTGGTTTTAATTTCCCTGGTCTCTCCATCCTTGACGGAAGTTATCCGAGATTCAAAAATGTGCCAGGAAGGCTCCTTGGAAGCTGATCCCGAGGACTGTGGCAGCTATTTCCAATGCCTGGATGAGGAGCATTTACACTTGACTTGTCCCGAAGGCACCTACTTCGAGGACAACAACCAAGTTTGTGTGGTGGATGAGCTGAAAATTTGTCCAGAAAATGCGCCAAGGTCTTGCATAGAGGGTCAAGTGGATCAAGACTCGGATAACTGCGCCGGCTATCTGGAGTGTGTGAATGGAGTGATTGTAAAGGAAAAGTGTCCCAGCGGTAGTTACTTTAATACCGTTCTATCCCTCTGTGTTATGGATGAAAATGGTGTTTGTGCGAATGCCACAAGTCAGTGTACCGATGGCACAGTATCTGCCGATCCCAATGACTGTGCCGGTTATTTGAATTGTGTGAATGGAAGTCCCGAGTCCAAAAAGTGTCCCACTGGCAGCTACTTCGAACCCGTTTACAAGACCTGCATTATAGACACCAACGGGGTCTGTGTGCAACCGCCGGTTATCTGTGTCGAGGGGGAAGTAAAACTGGACCCCAATAACTGTGCAGGATACTTGAAGTGCGTTAATGGAGAACAAATTGAGGAACTCTGTCCAAGTGGTTCTTACTTCAATGTCAAGCTGCTGTCTTGTATGGTGGACACTGAGGGTGTCTGCCTTATAAGAAGTTTTAAAAACCTTTGTGCAAAATGATTGTGATTTGGAAATCTAAAGTGCGATTTTGTCAAATTTTGAAACGATAATGATCCAGTGTATGTTAAAAAAAGAATCTATTGAATGAAAAGGCGAAAGTGCCACTATCGATCACCAGGGAAGACAAGCGATTGGACATGAATAATAAATAAACTCGCACGATAAGTTACCAGTCATAAAATTAAATTAATTGGGAAGTTGCCATTTGGGTACTGGGACTTTTGGCCAAGTTCTTTATGGAGGCCATTCAATGGCAGCAGTGACTGGTGATAATGCGATAAGGAAAGTTTTGTACTCGCCACCAGTATAATCTGTCTCAGTGCTAATCGAGCCCATCTGGAACTGATTAGACAATAATTTAACGAGGATGTTGATTCGTCGGATGTGAGTCAGTCGATTTGGTGCGTCAGTTTTGGGTGGGTAGAAGAACATCGAAGACCCAGGTCGGTAATTAAAAGCAAGGGGTTCCTTTAGCCCGCCCCTTTTATGTTCTAGGGTTTTATTGGAAATGCGATATTGGTTTGGACTTTATTGCAAACTTTTCCGCGCTCAGTTGGCGGGGACTTCAGCTACGGAATGTTTTTGGTTATTGATTTACTTCTCGACTTTAACGTTGACCAGAAATACGTTGAAAATGAAAATGTTTTTGGAACTGCTAGGTGGTTTCTTGTCGTCGTCGGGGGGTGAGCTGGTCGTGGTCGTATCGGGAACGATAGTTGTAGTGGTGGGCTCCTCAGTGGTCGTGGTGACGGTTGGAGTATCTGGAACGACGGTTGTGGTGGTGGGTTCCTCAGTAGTTGTGGGGACGGTTGGAGCCTCTGGGACGACGGTTGTGGTGGTGGGTTCCTCAGTGGTTGTGGTGACGGTAGGAGTCTCTGGAACTACGGTTGTGGTGGTGAGCTCCTCAGTGGTTGTGGTGACGGTTGGAGTCTCTGGAACGATGGTTGAGGTCGTGGGTACCTCTTCCGGTTCTCCGGTAGTCGAGTCGTCGTCATTGCCTCCGGGAGTCTCTGTAGTCTCATCATCTTCTGCGCCGGTGGTCTCTTCTCCATCTCCAGGGGCAACAGTTGTCTCAACTTCTTCTGGGGTAGCTGTGGTTTCCTCACCTCCAGGAACAGCAGTAGTTTCTTCGCCACTTGACCCATCAGTAGTCTCCTCTTCCCCAGGAGTAGCTGTTGTTTCTTCTCCTCCAGGAGAATCAGTGGTCTCCTTTCCTCCTGAACCTTCTGTAGTCTCCTCACCTCCTGGTGCAGCAGTAGATTCTTCACCACTCGAAGCCTCTGTAGTCTCCTCATCTACAGGAGCAGCAGTTGTTTCTTCTCCACTGGAACCTGCAGTAGTCTCTTCTCCTCCAGGAGCAGCAGTGGTCTCTTCACCTCCTGATCCTTCTGTTGTCTCCTCACCTCCGGGAGCAGCTGTAGTTTCCTCACCTCCAGGGGCAGCAGAGGTCTCATCACCTCCGGGAGCAGCAGTAGTTTCTTCACCTCCAGGAGCAGCCGTAGTTTCCTCTCCACCCGACCCCTCAGTGGTTTCCTCACCTCCATTTTCCTTGGGAGTTGTAGTGACCTCCGGAGAAGCAGTAGTCTCATCCGCCTTCTCGCCAAAGCCATATGGAGATTCCTTGTTAACCGGGACGTAGAAGATGCCCTCGGCAATAACGGAGTTCACAAAGGCTCCCATCTTAACTGTGCTGAACTGATCTCCGCAAGAGTTCTTGTTGGCCTGCTGGTAGGTCTCGCACCTCTTCGAGGGGAAGTTGTTCCACAGCAGCGCCTCCGAATAGTAGAGAACTGCGCGGGTGTGCGAGCAGCTGCCGGTGATGTCGATTCCACAGCCAGGCTGAGACTTGCCACCGTTCATGTAGAAGTCTGCCTGTCCGATGGTCTTGGTGAAGCCCAAGGTACCGCCATTGGTGTGGATGGCCTCCACGTACTGGGCATCATCGCTGGCCAGACGTTTCTCGGTGTTCGTGTAACTAATCAGTGGGGAGGCGGGATCCAAGCCCACCACTTTGCCGACCTTTCCGCTAGCCACATTCTTGGCCGTGAAGCCAGCAACATGGGCGCCCAGACTAAAGCCAACCACTTCCAAGTTGTCCAGGTTCAGGTTTTTGTTCTCCACCAGGAAATCCACAAGGTCGGCAACTTTCTTGCCAGCTCCTGGGGCTCCGGCCACAGAAGAGGCGTACTCCAACGATCTGCCACGAGCCCAGTCCACGGCAATCATGTTGTAGTCTCCGTACTGGAACCAGGCGTTGGCTATTCTGGTGTTGACTCCATCTTTGTAGTTGGAATTCCAGCCATGGATGGTTATCCTGTGAAGGTAATTTAATTATTGATTTGATATTGCATTTTTTTTTTGGGAAGAAGTTACCTGGTGGGATTTTCGGGATTGAAGTTGGAAGCATCAATTGAGGCCTGGGTGGCCTTGATCTCTTGTCCTGCAGTGGGGTTTGTCCGAGTGTACAAGTAAAACTTCACAGTGTTGGTCGACAAACGACCTTCCAGTGCCGTCTCGTAAGAAGCCACCTCGCGTTCTCCTTCCGACTTGGTGACCCATTTCAGACCGCCAGCTACTTGGGGCACATACCAGCCGTTGAGGCCATGAACTCGCAGCGAAATTTCATTGACCGGCCAGGCACTAGCTAGAATAATTGGGATATTTCCATGTTATTTCTGTTGAAAAGTCCGAGTTTAAGGGTAAAGTACCAGCTATCACGCAGCCCAATACTAGGAAGCACAATCTCATCGTGAGACTTTTATTGGAATGGTTTATTAAACGCACCTGTAGCTGCTATTTATACCTTTCCTTCTTGAATGGAAACCAAAACCTGCGCAACAACGCTAGTGACAAGTGATTAGATCATTTCTAATCAGTTAGATTTAAATCCAGTGGCAAAAAGCTCACCGAATGTTCCTATCAAGCCTAATTCATTTTCCAGGAAATTACTTTCCTCTTTTGAATGATTACCGAATTTCCCCGAAACAATTTCAAGCAATTACATTTTGGAGATTTTTTTGTAAATAGAATAATTTTTTTAAAGGCGTTTTGGAACTTAAAAACCCAATCTAAAGTTCCTTACTTTTGATACAAAGCGATATGTTTGAATCAGTTTATATTCGAATTTCGAATCTGCCTTAATAAAATACGTTATTTTGAAAAGTAAAATTCTTTAACGATAGAGATCGGATAATATTATACTTGTATTGGGAGTGGTTTTTAAAATAACTAACTATCTAAAATAATAAAAATATTAATACTTTTTTTATAAAAGTTTTTTGTATTTTTTAATGATCATAATAATGAATATCTTTTGCCCCGAATACCCTTAACAAATAACCAATTAAAGCTTTTTTAAAATTGCTTTGGCTCACAGAGCTTTTACTCAATTTATTAACTTGGCTGAAACGGCTTTAGTTGCCCATTCCGTAGGGAGCTTCGCTACGGACGGGAACGTAGTAGTCTCCGGCCACCATGTAGGCGTTGGAGGTGGCGCCCATGCGGACGGAGCTGTAGGAGCTGCCACAGGTCTTGGAGACGGCCTCCTCGTAGTCACCACACTTCATAGTGGGGAAGTTGTTTTGCTGGACGGACTCGGCATAGTAGATGACGGAGCGGCTGTGGGCACAGGAACCGGTCAGATCAACGCCGCAGCCTGGCTGGCTTTTGCCGCCGTTGGGGTAGAAGGCACCCTTGCCGATGGGCTTCAGGAAACCGAGGGTTCCTCCGTTGGTCTGGATGGACTCCACGTACCAGGCATCGGTGGAGCTCAAGCGCTTGTTGGGGGAGTCGTAGCTGAAGAGGGGCAGGGCGGGGTCCAGGCCAATGATGGTGTGCACCTGGCCGTTCTTCACGTTCTTGCCGGCATAGCCCGAGACATGGGCGCCCAGGCTGTGGCCAATGATCATGGTGTTGTCCAGGCTGAGTCCGTGGTTGTTGCGCAAGAAGTTGATTAGGTCGGCCACCTGCTCACCTACTCCGGGGACGGCCACCACCGAGGAGGCGTAGTCGACGGACCGGGCGCGTCCCCAGTCGACGGCGATCATGTTCATGTCTCCATGGGAGAACCAGGCGTCGCGAACTCCGTAGTTAATGAACTCGTCCTTGCTAGAAGACCAGCCGTGGATGGTGAAGCGGGTGGGATTGTTGGGGTTGAAGTGGGAGCCGGAAATGGAGGCGGAGGTTGCCTTAATTTCCTGAGGGTTGTCACGGTTCGAGTGGGTGTAGAGGTAAAAGGTCACGGGGTTAAGGACGCTGCGTCCCTCCTTGCGGCTGCTGGCCTCCAGGAAGGCCTCGGCCACCTCGCGGTCCATCCACTCCAGGCTGCCATCGACCTGGGGGACGTACCATCCATTCTCACCATTCTCGCGGATCTCAACGGCATTAGCTGAGGATTTATATTTAAAATTATTAAATATTCATAGTTAGATAAAAGAGGGTTTCTTTTGGGCTAAGCTTTTTCTTCATTTTAAAATAAATTATAGGCTGTACAAATATTTAAAGGTCAATCTGAATAATTCAAATATGACTTAAGATTCACATCATCAAAGAATGTAAATACCCCTTATAAAAAGGAAGTGCAATGGAAGTGCAATTACGACGCCATAGAACTGTGATTAATGCTTAGTACCCCAAATATAAAATGTAATATTTTACTTATCCACTCACCCGCCAGGACACAGAAGGCCAGGGCCAAAAGCAGTTTCATCATTGTAGCAAAGTCGACTCCAACTAACAATCTGGCGATGGCATGGGGTCGCTTTTATATATGAGACTCCATGGTCCGATGTTCCGATGGAATCTTCGAAACATTGGAGCACCCCACTCGAGATAGGGCCAATGGATGGCCATTCGGACACTCGGACCACGCCGATTCGATAAGGACGTTGTGGTCGGAAAGTCGAGGGGCGGAGCATGTGTTCCGGCAATCGGGCCTAAGTAGAATGTCCATCTTTCGTTTAATTTGATTGAATTCGATTTGATATTTTCGGCCGCGTGGCCCTTCTCGAGTGGTTCACGTTTCAGATAAAGTTCTGCTATGACTGACGTCTTATTTAATCATCGTTACTATTATCTGCCTGTGCCCAGATACTTTATCAGTTTGATATTCTTTTTATCAATTCTTTGTTCGCACATCGCAGGTCCATTGGTATTTCAATATCTTATTAAATGTTGTAACTAGAAAATAGTCATAATCAAGATCGCAAAAAGGGGCTGATTTCATAGTTATTGGAAACTAATTATAATACTTATATCATACATATATGTTGAAAACAAGTTTCAGTTTTTGTATTTTCTTAATCTTTGAGTGTTTAAAAACAAAACAAAATCTTAAGATTTAAATAGATGTTTTTATGACAGCTTTATCTACCAATAATACTCTACCAATACGTCAATTCTAATCAAAAGACATTCTTTGGGGAATTGGAATGTCTATAGTATATCATACCTATAGACAAAGTATCTATATAGTCCTAATCATTATGAATGGCGATTTGCATTTTAAAATAGACTTACCAGGTGGACTACCTTGATATTGAAAATAATAGAAAACACTTGGCCTTAATCATTGTGAGTGATTAGACCCCCTGGACGCCACAATCCCTGTATAGATAAACTGACAGAACTAAAGCTCTTGCGAGACCTAATATTTTTGCAATTGAATTTTTTATTATTATTGTTCGTTTTTCTATTCAATTTTTCCGAATGGAGCCTTGTCATTCACCGGGACATAAAAGTCCCCCTCGACCATGTAGGCATTGGTGTCGGCTCCCATGCGCACACTGCTGTAGGTACTTCCACACTCCTTGGCCACCGCCGCCTCGTAGTCCCTGCACTTGATGGTCCCAAAGTTGTCCTGGGTGACAGCTTCCACGTAGTAGGTCACGGAGCGCTGGTGGGAGCAGGAATTGTCCGTAGAGGAGCATCCTGGCTGGGTTTTTCCACCGTTCGGGTAGAAGGCTCCCTTTCCAATAGGCTTCAGGAATCCCAGCCGTCCGCCGTTCGTTTGGATGGACTCCACGTAGAAGGCGTCCTCGGTGGAGAGTCGCTTGCTGGGCTGGTCGTAACTAAACAGTGGCATAGCTGGGTCCAGGCCGATAATAGTATGAACCCTTTTGTCGCCCACCGTCTTGCCAGCATAGCCGGCCACATGAGAGCCCAGACTGTGACCGATCACCTCCAGATTGTCAAGGGACATGCCGTGGTGCTCGTGCAAATACTTGATCATTTCGCCCACCTTGGTTCCGGCTCCGGGAACAGCCATCACCGAGGTGGCGTACTCCACGGATATGGCTCGGGCCCAGTTAACCACAATTACATTATAATCGCCTCGGGAGAGCCAGGCCTTGGTGATCTTCACGTTCATGCTGTCCGTGTAGCGTCCCTTCCATCCGTGGATCACAAATCGTGTGCCATGGTTCTTGTTAAAGTGCGAGTCCTCGACGGAGGCTTTTTCGGCCCTTATTTCCTTGCCTTCTGTGGGGTTATCCTTGGTGTATAAATAAAAGGTCACATCGTTGGCACGACCTTCGACTGAACTGCTTCTTAGCATGAGCTCCTCTGCCTCTTTCAAATCAAACCATTTCAAGCTGCCATCGTCCTTCGGAACAAACCAACCATTTTCGCCATTAACACGCTCTTCGATAGGCACAGCAATCACTGAAAGAAAAAGTGTATTCTAGAATCTAGATTGAAATATTTTAGTTTTGAGTACTCACCTGCTGCAGCCAGAAGAACCAAATACACGATTACCTTCATTTTGGTATTTAAACCGAATAGTGTCTAGGACGGGTTCTTGTTGCGCTTTTATAGGCAGCAGAAAGCACTCGAGTTCCAGATTCTTATCTACTCTCTAAATTGATAATATTTGGTGAGGTGATCTGTAGACTAGATGAGGGATGTATATATAAGTAATCACTGTTTTTAACTTACCTAAGTCTAAGCTGTATTTTTATTTTATTTAATAATTTTGTGAAGAAACAAGGTAATCATTTTACACCCATTACGAGTACATAAATATACAAAACTCTTTTTAATATGTTCTACCCCCTGTCAGGGTTTAAAAACATGTACTAATCTTTGGCTGATAGATATATTATAAATAGTACAGAGCTTATAGATTAATCAAGTGGTTCGAAAATCCCTGCACACTTCAGTTTCAAGTACTACTTTCAAAACTGGTAGCGGGCTATTGACTTTGATGAGTTTATATTTTGTTGCTGAGTGGGGGGATTTTGTTTTTCGGTTCTAGAGATTCTAGCAGGTGGAAAACAAAGTGTTTGAAGATTACAAGAGTGTTTGTTCCTTTGTGTTAAGATGAGTTGCATTATGAACGGATTTTTGAATAAGTACTGTGTACTTAAAAAAATGAGAATAAAAAGAAAGCGTAATCATTTTTAAAGGAAATTGAGCATTTTATTCAGAGTTCGCATCCAAGGCCAATCTATTCGATCTTGCCGAAAGGAGCCTTGTCATTCACCGGAACATAGTAGTCACCATCGACCATGTAGGCATTGGTGACGGCTCCCATGCGAACAGAGCTGTAGGTGCTGCCGCACTTCTTGGACACAGCGTCCTCGTAGTCGGAGCACTTGATGGTTCCGAAGTTGTCCTCAGATACAGCCTCAGCGTAGTAGAGAACGGAGCGACCGTGGGAGCAGGATCCGGTGGCATCCAGGCCACAGCCGGGCTGCTTCTTGCCGCCGTTAGGGTAGAAGGCACCCTTGCCAATGGGCTTCAGGAATCCCAGCTTGCCGCCGTTGGTCTGGATGGACTCAACGTAGTGGGCGTCGTCGGTGGAGAGGCGCTTGGCGGGCTTGTCGTAGCTGAAGAGGGGCAGGGCGGGGTCCAGACCCACGATGGTGTGGACGCGCTTGTCACCAACAGTCTTGCCAGCGTAGCCGGCAACGTGGGCACCCAGACTGTGGCCAATCACCTCCAGGCTATCCAGGTCCAGTCCATGGTGTTCGTGCAGGTACTTGATCATCTCACCAACCTTGGCTCCGGCTCCGGGAACAGCCAGGACGGAGGAGGCGTAGTCCACAGACCGGGCACGGGACCAGTCAACCACAATGACGTTGTAGTCGCCCTTGGAGAGCCAGGCCTTGGTGATGCGGGTGTTCATGTCATCGGTGTACTTCTGGGTCCAGCCGTGGATAACGAAGCGGGTGCCATGGTCCTTGTTGAAGTGGGATCCCTCAATGGAGCTGGCCTTGGACTCGATCTTCTTGCCGTCGGTGGGGTTGGACTTGGTGTAGAGGTAGAAGTTGACGGCGTTGGTGCTGATGCGTCCCTCCATCTTGGCTGCATTGTTTAGCATTTCCTCGGCGTCCTTGGTAGCCATCCACTCGAAGCTGCCATCGGCCTGGGGAACGTACCAGCCGTTCTCGCCATTCACACGTTCCTCGATGGGCACGGCGCTCACTGGAATAAAATGGTTCTTATTAGAGTCCTTTCGCAGGTCCTTTCTGAGAAAAACACTTACCAGCGGCCAACAGAGCGGCTAAAACAACAAAGACTTTCATATTGGTGGTCTGATCCAATTGTGATGTTGAGGGCCAGTTGTTCCTGCCTTTTATAGGAGTACGGTAATCACTTTTTAATATCAATAAGCACTTGACCACTCTGACTGCCGTGCGAGCGATGAGATAGGACCGATACCATGATTAGAACATTTTTTTGATAGCGAATGCCTTTTCTCCTGCGTAGATGATAAGCGTGGAAATTCAAGAACCGGGTATTTGTACTTGCATCACACTTTTGATAAGGCTCTGAATGTCATGATCGCCAAAAGTGGGTGTGGTGGGCCTAGAAGTGGTCAGGGGCGAAGGAGGTTCAAAAAAGATTCATAGGTAATAATAAATAATAGATTACTATTTTATGAACGAAGGGGGAATTAAAAAAATTGTTCGAGGGTAATAATTATTGGAAGTAAAATATATAAGAAGAGGTTGTAGGTTAAATGCTTTTAAAAGCCACAGTGCGTATGAGTGATATGATATTGTGACATTTTGAGTAGAGTATTAAGCTATGCAGAATATATTATATAGGAAATAAAACGCAATTTGAAAATTAAAAAAACTAATTAATTAAATTAATAAATAAAGCAAAATATAATAAAAATAAAAAAACAAAGTTACTTGAAAAATTAAAATATAATATAATTGTTGTTTCTTAATCATTTTTGTTGTAATTAAAAAATTGTTTATATTCTTTGTCCAAATAACATAAAAGTGTGTCAACAGAGTCATAAAAGTTGTTGTTACTTTGTATTAGATTAGCGCTTATAAGGTTGCACCAAATATCAATCATACGAACTGTTGCCCGGAACTGTTACTATTTACACCACAAACTTATACGTAGCTATTATAAGAAAGGTACAACTCGAAAATTGGAACTAAGAACTAGTATCAATAAAGTTGGATAAACATATTATTTGTGTTTATTTTTTAAAACTCCGCTGGAGTTCCTAATAAAGTTACGTTCGCAAAAAAAGTAATCTCAATAAAGTTTATATCAAAGACTCCCAATTGCTAATTGTAAAGGTATAATTATTTATTGGACTCTTTGTTAAAGCCTTCATCAATTAAACCATTGTTGAGCAATATCAAGAAAGACTTGAAAGGAAATAAAGTCATGAATGACCAAAAGAAGTCATAAAATCTGATAGACTAATTATTGATAGCTGATTTTTAGCCAGATAACTCCCCTATGAATTATGGCCATCATAAAGGTTCTTATGGCTCGATAAGGCCGATTCATTGATGAAAAGTCAAGGCGATTTCTTAACCCCGTTTCCGTGAGTGAGTAAAATATTGTATTTTTCAGATAACTGGAGTATTTTCTGGTTTTATTGCGTCGAGTTTAGTTAATCATGCCGAAGGGGGCCTTGCTGTTCACGGGCACGTAGAAGTCACCGGAGACCATGTAGGCATTGGTATCGGCACCCATGCGGACGGAGCTGTATGTGCTGCCACACTCCTTGGCCACGGCATTCTCGTAGTCGTTGCACTTGATGGTGCCGAAGTTGTCCTGAGCGACGGCCTCGGCGTAGTAGGTGGTGGAGCGTCCGTGAGAGCAGGCTCCGGTCACGTCAGCGATGCAGCCGGGCTGGCTCTTGCCGCCGTTCGGGTAGAAAGCACCCTTGCCGATGGGCTTCAGGAATCCCAGGGTTCCGCCGTTGGTCTGGATGGACTCCACGTACCAGGCGTCGTCGGAGTTGAGGCGTTTGTTGGGCTTGTTGTAGCTGAAGAGGGGCAGGGCGGGATCCAGACCCACAATGGTGTGCACCTGGCCGTCGGTGTTCTTGCCGGCGTATCCAGCCACATGGGCGCCCAGGCTGTGGCCAATGAAGTACAGGTCGTCAAAGGACATGCCGCGGTATTCCTTCAGGAAGTTGGCCATGGCAGCCACCTTCTTGCCGGTCTTGGCGACGGCCATCACGGAGGTGGCGTAGTCCACAGAACGGGCACGGGCCCAGTCGACGACGATGATGTTGTAGTCACCCTTGGACAGCCAGGCGTCGCGGATGTCCTTGTTCATGCTGTTCACATAGCTCTGAGTCCAGCCGTGGATCACGAAGCGTGTGGGATGGGCGGCATTGAAGTTTGAAGCGTCGATCGACTTGGCGGTGGCCTTGATGCTCTTGCCCTTGGTGGGATTCGAGCTGGTGTACAGGTAGAAGTTAACAGGCACGGTAGTGAGGCCGCGACTCTCCATGCGCTCCTGGGCCTCCATCCACTCCTCGGCAACGTCCATGTCTACCCATTCGAAGGAACCGTCCATCTGGGGAATGTACCAGCCATTCTCCCCATTGACACGCTCGGATTCCTCCAGAGCGTAAGCCGAAGCTAAGGAAAAATAAAACAAATTTTATTCAACTTAAAGTTTTTGAAAAACATTATAGAAGATACAAGAACTAACATACATTTTGGTACATATTGGTAAACGTTTAGTGGCTTTTGATATACATATCTTTATATAGTATTTTAATTTTGTTCATTTCTTATAAAAATTATTTAATAGTAATCACAACTATAAGTTTGTTAAATAATATTATTTAATATTCAATAATATTATATACCATTTTTTTTAAATATTTAAGCTATTTGATTCTCTATTAAATGGACTCCTTGGAACTCTAGAAACTTACCGGCCAGAGCCACGAATGCCAAAAGTACAAAAGTCTTCATATTGTAGAAGAACCCACAACTGATGGTTGGTAAAGTTGGAAGCCGAGTCTTTTATAGGTCCCATGGTGGGCTTCTTATCGGTGGGAGATTAGATCGTTTTCTGACTAGGTGGTATTCGGACATTTAAATTAATCAGGCCCCAATGCAAGACCTATTTTTTTGTTTTTCAGGAATTCGGAATCTGATGGAAACTTAATCTATTGATTGCCTTTTGAATTGCGTCGACGATTTGCCGACAGATACTTGAAGATTTCTGCGTTAATGCACGTAAAAGAATTCATGATTTTAGGGAATTCTACAGTATTTAATTACGAACTAGTATGGCTATCGATAGCAAAGGGTGCGGCACTCGAGCCTCGAATGTTTTCTTAATCTCCTGTAAGTCACCTCGAGTATACTTAATAATACGTATCATTAAATAGGCATTTAATTTCGCACTTCAGTGCATTCCTACGGTTGGGGCTTTCCTTATCGTGTCCAGCTTGGTGGAGTGTAATCTGTGGCAGGGATTGGTAGCCAACAGGTGATGTGGGAATTTTGTAAGGCTCAGGTCCAGGCGCAATTTTACACAGAAGTCTGTAGAAGCCTGGAGATTATCTTAATTAATGTATTTAATCGGAAGTTACAGCGCTTTTCAGCCGATTTAAAAGTGCGGTATACTTTCAGGCCGTTGTCCTTTTTATTCTCATAATGACCACTTAATTATCGTTCAGCCAAAGATTAATTCAATTAAAAACGCAAATATGAACACGACCACAACCGCAGGCCCCACCGAGTCCTGGGCATTGCCTTTGTGGACACAGGAGCTGATGAGCGGAGGCGGAGACGCAGGCAGATTCAATGAATTTCTCGAATTAATAGCTTTTTCAAAAGTGTCGCATTTCCCGTGGCACGTGCACCCATCCTGATAAATGGTTCCTCGAACATTTGATTAAGCAAATTAAATGAAAACACCAGGCTACACAGCTAATTTGCATAACCAACAGAGGATAGGTAGCCTGCGAAATATCTGCAAGATTGAAATTGGCTTTGAATGGAGCGCTTTTTGGTCTCTTATTTTAGGCATTAAGTCATCTAAAATGGTCAAAAAACAAATAACGGAATTGTCGCAATTTAAATCCTATTTAAGGAGACTTGAGGCCACAAATCACTGGCATATATGTGAGCAAATATGTGAGTAGGGACCAAGCAATAAAATTCAATTTTACGCAGGAGCCGCAAGAAACAATAAACTTGTCAGCCCATAAATAAGGACCGAAGGAAAATAAAATTTTTGCTCTCTTATTTTTTGGTTTTTTAATGGGGGTGTAGGTAGGGTGAAGGTCAAGAATTACCCTTATCTGGCTGGCGGTGTGCTCGAAAAGCTGACTCTAAAAATATTTTATCGGGTGATTAACTGTATGAATCTCAAGTAGAGGCAGGAAACTCAAGACTTCAGTCCAAACAGCTGCACATACTTTGCCCAAAAAATACTTGTCATACTAAAGAGCTAATTGGGCCGCAAGGACACACAGAAGCCACCCGTCGAGCTTGCCTATTTAAATACTGGGTGCTGTGTGGTGGTTGAGGCTGGCCTTCCTGGCATTTCCTTCAACAACAAAATACATCCACATAGATGTGGCTGCTGTTGACTTTGCCCCAAGCAAAATTACTCTTGACGGTTGCTCATTAATTATAATTACAAACATGCCGCAGAAAGTGCCAAAATAATTCTGACAACAGTGCCAAAGATATTGCCAGTTGTGGTTAAGGTTGCACAGGAAAAAAGTCTTTTCTTTACGATATCTAAAGAAATAAAGTGTAAATATGTTAAAATAGAAAGAAAATTTGTCTCAAAATATTTAAGGAGAAATAATAGCTATAATATTTAATTTAAAGGTTACAGTTTTGATTAAAGATAAAAAAATAACAATATTTTTCACAGTGTATTAAAACATGGCAGCAAAAGTGACGACTACCTGTAAATGTAAACGCGGCCTCCAGCAAAGGGACTGTTCCTTTGGTTAAAGGATGTGGCTGCCTGTCTGGGAAAAGTAAATATTTTGTTGCAACATTCTGTGGCAGCTGGATACCAACAATTTGGCTTTCATTCACTGCATTTGGCCGTGCCTCAGGCCAGCGTTAGATTCCATTTTCCGGTTGGAAAGCCCCGAACCCCCGCTATCAGCGAATCCTCCACATCCCACAAATTGGCCCATGGAAATCCTGCAAATTTGCTGTAATCTGGGCTTTTTTTAAAAATATTTTTCCAAGACCATCTTTATTTTGGCTGAACTGAGTTCTTTGCTCCCCGGTTTGTCGCTAGCTAGAAAATTGAATTTATGAAATACATTTTCGACAGGTCTGCCACCTGTTTTCTTTCGAATGTTTTTTTGAGGAAGCCTTTGTTGGTGGCTTCCATTTTTACGCTGAGCCTAAAAGGCCGCTAAACAAAATTACGCGCCAACTAAGCCCAAGAAATCTGATTTTATGCCACTTTTTTGTGCTGGCCGGGGAAATCTAAGACGTTATTACATTTTCAATGGCGCGCCCATATATCCCCGTCTTGGCTTCCATTCTTGTACGTGATTTCTTGTCAATATTTTGCATTTTATTTTATTACCAACATTATTTTCATGTTACAGTCCGCCGTCGTGCCTTTCTGTTGCCCAAGGCCTCGTATTCGTCCTGTTTTAATTTGGATTTGTAGCTTCGGTTCCCCCGCTTTAGCATTTTTATTTCATCGAGCGGTAGTGCGGTTTGAATATCGAACACGGAGTGGCTCTCCGGCATGTAATTATTTTGTGTGTTTTTGGCATTCGACGCACATTTTCCATGTCTTGTTAATACAAAATTGATGAGCTGTTCATTAATCAGGAGTCTCGAACGGGGCAGATTTTTTGATTACCTGCCGAATATGTTATGAGCCAGAAATTTTGTGGAATTTAGAGTGCAATTAAATTCATTATTGGCTCTCCCTTAAAGCTAATATCCTCCCAACATTCTTGGGTCCAGATTGTTTATTTAATTTGTTCGCATTCTGTGCTTCCTGTTGTCACTTGTCAAGCCAAAAGGTTTGATCCGTTTTCAGTTCTTCGGCAGCGATTTGCTCGAATGACATTAATGAATAAATTCCTCAACTTTTGGCCGGAAATATAAACCAAAAGAGTCCCAAATACCAATATTCGGAAAGCCTTACATTTTAAATGGGTTTCCAGATTTTTATGGAAAGAGAAAGCTCTCTCGAGCAGTCGAGGAATTTTTTAGGATAATTGATAAAAAATACAGCAGGGGTGGGAGCAAGGGAAGACGATAAGAAAAAACAACTCACGCACACGCTCAGACACTTTCCAAAGGCTCGTCCTCATTATTGTGCTGAGATAAGCAATTTACCCACTTGATAACCTTATCCTGTCCTTGCTGGGGGTGGTTGGGTGGTGAGGTGGTTGGGCCCTTGGGTGGTGGAGGCTTGTTCGTCTGTCAGTTGTATTTCCGAGTTCATTCAGCGAGATATTAAAACGAAGTGAAGCTGAGCTGAAATGATATGGAGTTAAATGATTCGAAGGCAGGCAGTGAGTCAACTTATAGAAAGGCCCAAGTTTAAATTACTTTCATTTCCCCCATTTGTACACTCGCGTATTTCGATATTAACTTTCTTATTACTTACTTTTAATTACTTACCAACTCAACGCATATTGGTTTGGCTTTCACATAATTTCAATTGAGTGATTGGAAACTATAGGTCAGGATATGACTACGAATATGAAAATATTTAATTTAAAGGCTTGTTAATAAAAAACGGACCTTTTCCTTTGAAAAATGTGTATTAACAACAAAACATTAAAGTTCAAACTTGATTTATATAAAAAACACCTGTCGACAATTCATTCTTCCCTTGCCGTCACATACATTATTTTTTGCACAACTCCAACTAAAACTCTGCAAGGATACTGTTATCCTTTCAAAACGCTCGTCTGTTTTCCATCTTGATGGATGGTTGCATATTTACGCTTATTATGGCGATTTGTTATGCAAAACTGAAAACCCTGCTCAAAACTCTTATACAGACAGCTGCCCAAAAGTATGCAACGTTTTTGGTAAACGAAAATATTTGCAGTTTAATATTAAGTACCCGCCGTGTTGCACCCAGCTAAAGAAAATCTGAAATTGCACGACTTAAGCTAATTATGGCATTCCTTTTTACTTGCAGATGGCATAAATAACTTCTGTGCCACAATGGGAAGAAGTTTGGAGGACAGCTAAGTATTCAGGGACTAGAAGTTGGTGAACAACTGCTGGGAAGCCTCCAGAACGCACTTGAATGGAGTTGGACAAAGGCCTGGTGATGTGGCCCAGACGGCGGTTACAAAGTCTTTATTATATAGCGCCACAGGAGCCGTTGCTGCGGAATGAGGAGGATGACTACCAGGACGAGCTGTTCGCCATGCCCGATTCCGCCTCTTTGTTGTACAATGAAACCGCAGCACTGGCCGAGGAGGAGCTGCACGAAGGGTACGCCTCCAGCACCCCTACACTCAACGGCCTGGAGAGCGAGAGCTTCAATGTCACCGTGCTGATGAACTTTAGCTGCGAAGCCGACGACACACAATCGGAGGATCTGTGGAGTAGCGTCTACTTCAAGAGCACCGTCTACCTGCTGTACATTCCCATATTCATCTTTGCTCTGATCGGTAATGGGACCGTGTGCTACATCGTCCAGAGCACCCCGCGCATGCGCACCGTGACCAATTACTTTATCGCCAACCTCGCCCTGGGCGACATCCTCATGTCCCTGTTCTGCGTGCCCTCCTCTTTCATATCGCTGCTCATCCTCAACTATTGGCCCTTCGGCATCGCCCTCTGCCACTTTGTCAACTACTCGCAGGCGGTATCCGTTCTGGTCAGCGCTTACACCCTGGTGGCCATCAGCATCGATCGGTACATAGCCATCATGTGGCCCCTTAGGCCGCGCATCACCAAACGGTGAGTTCATAATGGTGGGGAGGTGCGAAACAGGTGCCAGCCGGAGGGTGGGGGATATTTA